TAATCTACCCGCGGGTGGAATGTCACTTGCGCAGCTGGAAAATTATGGCCAAAATATGAGTTATGGGAGATTTTGGCTCTAGTTGAGGTATCCACCCATACCTCCATGCCCTAAGCGGGGTATTGGTCCTTGACTTCAGAGACACCCCCTGCTGGGGACTACAAAATAGGCTGTCAGGCCTAAGAGTCTGAATTGAAGCCATCTCCCATTTTAACATCAATACCACCTGGGGAGACCCGTGCCCTTTTGCTCTGAAGCTTGGATCTGCTAACCCAGGGCTTTGGCAAGTACCTTAACTCTTTCCCCTCTCTCTTATATCTCTTTGCTGTGCTGTTAGTCTCTGTATATTTACATATATATCTTAGTTACATCTTTTTCTGTAAATATTTTTATTGCACCTGTTTGACCTTTTAGTAATAAATCTTTCCTTTTGAGAGTGTTGAACTGTTTCTATAGCGCTTTATTGCAATTTACAAATTCCTGCCTCTAAAGAGAACGCTACTGTGTTTGTTTAACTCTCTGCATAATCTGCCTGCTGAATTTGCCTTTAAAGTATGTACTTTTACCACGTACAGTTGTGTCATGCAGTTTGGGCATAGGGTACCCTGAGCAATTGGCAATTTTCCTCTACCCCAGTTATTAACCTTATCCAGTCATCTGATTCATCCAAGGGATTCATCTCTAGATGTTATGCCATGTTATTAATGTACTTTCTCCGGGATCATCCCTTGAGGGTAGTGGAGCAATGCGAGATAGATGTGGACCCAGTTACAAGACACCAATGAGAAGAATCCTTTCAGTCTGTGGTGACTAGCTCACTCAATGTGTCACAAAAATAATAATTTTTTTACTGTTTGCATTCTATAAGCAATTATTTATAAACTTGACAAAGGTCCAGTGCACATACTTGATTATGAAGCCTATTCACAAAGGATTGAACATTTGCCAAAGATTCACCACACATTCACCAAGGGATCATTTTCCTATTGTATAGCAAGCATTAGCGGAAACTAAAAGGATTCACCAACCTTTAACAACATCTAGATTTCCGATTGCTTCCATGGACACTGCTTTTATATCTAACATTAGCTGAATTCAAGAATATCTAGAGCAGCTTTTCTCACTCAGGGTTCCTCTTGAAGTTGGTAGGGATTCCTGGAGCAGTGAACAGTAGAGAATTGATCTTTCACCTTCACTGATCACCAAAGTAATGGGGATAGTTTTCACTGACCATCAAGGTAAACTTCTACACTGTCCAATACGGCTTCCTTCACACAGGTAAAATCATATTCATCTGTCAGTTTTTCAGATAGACCTGATCAGAAGCTCCGTATAAGTCTATGAGCAGGCAGATGTATGCGCTTGCATACGTCAAATTGCTACCAACTCTTTACAGGTCCAGAAAATAAAATAAAAAAGGTCTGTGTCATGTACATTTACATCCAGCCACCCATAGATCCAACGTAGGTCCATAAAAGTTAAATCCATCCCATTCTGCTCCGATTCAGTTGGACTGGACTGGAAAGCAAATATTTTCACTGTCCGCATTTCTTGTCTGTTATCATTCTTAATTTAATTTTAAGATTATAACCACGATTAATTTTGTTGTACAGAGCATGGGGTATTGAATAGAATGATCTGCCCAAGGTGGTAAATTGTCTAGGCACTCCGTATTTTTTATCTATTTATTTATAACTTTCAGCAATTTATTGATCAGACTAATGTACCATGAACTGTAGTTATAAATATTTTAGGCAGAAGTTCCAAGGGTTCCTCGGGGTACACAGGTTGAGAAGGCAGTGCTAATCCACTTACTGTTTACTGAATCACTACCTCTGCTGGAGGTCTATTCCAAGCATCAATTAATCTTTCTGTAAAATAATACTTTCTAAGATAATTTTGAACTTTCCTCCTGCTAGCTTGAGGTAAAATCCCCATGGTCTTGATCTTGGTTTCATATTGAAAATGCTGTCCTTCTGAACCTTATTCCCCCTCCTGATGTATGTAAAGGTTTCAGTCATGTCTCCCTTTCCCTTCTTTCCTCCAGACTGTTCATATTAAGTTCCTGAAGTCTCTCCTGATATGTTTAATCCCACAGACCTTTCAAGAAAATAAGCACACATCCCTCCCACAAGGCAATGCTATTCATCTGGAAACCAGTAGCCAAGCCTTAGCATTGTCCTGTTGGGGGAATACCTAACTGCTATCAAGATGACTTTTACACAAGATGCTAATTATTTTTTTGTTTAACATGAACTGTATGAAGAGTGTTTCCCTAATGATATGCAGCAAAGGTATATGCAGTCCTGCGTCAATCAGAATAAAAAGGTAAGTTAACTGTATTTGCAATTCTTCATTTTTTTTATTATTATTTTATTTTTTTTCAGCACAATGCAGTTTATAAAATTAGGATGACTTGTAACCACTCATAGTAAGGTTCATGCCAAACTGAGTAGGAAACTGACACATGATATAGTAGCAGGCCATTGGTCCAGTCGGCTGCGGTTGTGGAATTACCCACCTTGCAGCTGCACGTAACACCTTTGACCTACAGGTGAAACCCGAAAAATTAGAATATCGTGCAAAAGTTCATTTATTTAAGTAATGCAACTAAAAAGGTGAAACTAATATATGAGATAGACTCATTACATGCAAAGCAAGATAGTTCAAGCCGTGATTTGTCACAATTGTGATGATTATGGCTTACAGCTCATGAAAACCCCAAATCCACTATCTCAGAAAATTAGAATATTACATGCAATCAATAAAACAAGGATTGTACATAGAACAATATCGGACCTCTGAAAAGTATAAGCATGCATATGTACTCAGTACTTGGTTTGGGCCCCTTTTGCAGCAATTACTGCCTCAATGCTGCATGGCATGGAAGCTATCAGCCTGTGGCACTGCTGAGGTGTTATGGAAGACCAGGATGCTTCAATAGCCTTCAGCTCTTCTGCATTGTTCGGTCTCATGTCTCTCATCTTTCTCTTGGCAATGCCCCATAGATTCTCTATGGGGTTCAGGTCAGGCGAGTTTGCTGGCCAATCAAGCACAGTAATCCCACGGTCATTGAACCAGGTTTTGGTGCTTTTGGCAGTGTGGGCAGGTGCCAAGTCCTGCTGGAAAATGAAGTCAGCATCCCCATAAAGCTTGTCTGCGGAAGGAAGCATGAAGTGCTCCAAAATCTCCTGGTAGACGGCTGCGTTGACCCTGGACTTAATGAAGCACAGTGGACCAACACCAGCAGATGGCATGGCTCCCCAAATCAACACAGACTGTGGAAACGTCACACTGGACATCAAGCATCTTGCAGTGTGTGCCGCTCCGTTCTTCCTCCATACTCTGGGTCCTTGGTTTCCAAATGAGATGCAAAAGTTGCTCTCATCAGAAAAGAGGACTTTGGACCACTGAGCAACAGACCAGGTCTGTTTTTCTTTAGCCCAGGTAAGACGCTTCTGACGTTGTTTGTTGTTCAGGAGCGGCTTGACAAGAGGAATACGACATTTGAAGCCCATGTCCAGGATCCATCTGTGTGTAGTGGCTCTTGATGCACTGACTCTAGCCTCAGTCCACTCCTTGTGAAAGTCCCCAACACTTTTTAATGGCCTTTTCCTGACAATCCTTTCTAGGCTGCGGTCATCCCTGCTGCTTGTGCACCTTTTTCTTCCACACCTTTCCCTTCCACATAACTTTCTATTAATGTGCTTTGATACAGCACTTTGGGAACATCCAACTTCTTTTGCAATTACCTTTTGAGGCTTTCCCTCCTTATGGAGGGTGTCAATGATGGTTTTCTGCACAACTGTCAGGTCAGCAGTCTTTCCCATGATTGGGATTCCTTCTGAACCAGACTGAGAGACCATTTAAAGGCTAAGGAACCCTTTGCAGGTGTTATGGCTTAATTAGCTGATTAGAGTGGGACACTTTGAGCCGAGAATATTGCACCTTTTCACAATATTCTCATTTTCTGAGATTGTGGATTTGGGGTTTTCATGAGCTGTAAGCCATAATCATCACAATTATGACAAATCACGGCTTGAACTATCTTGCTTTGCATGTAATGAGTCTATCTCATATATTAGTTTCACCTTTTAAGTTGCATTACTGAAATAAATGAACTTTTGCACGATATTCTAATTTTTCGAGTTTCACCTGTAGTATGGCCACATATTTGGATAATGTCACTGAATAATTATAGCCATATGGTCATATTACATTGCCATTGTGATTAATAATGTCACAAGCACCCTGGCCCTTTTTGTATTTGCAGCTGCACAGTGAGGAATTTCATGGCTGCAGATGATTGCACCTGTGATCTGCTATCATGTGAAAGTTTACCGGGTTCAGGCTGAAATGAGTTCAACCAGAACCTTAGCTCATCCTTACTCATAAGCGTATTCTCTTTTAACCGCTAGCCTACAGGGCACTTATACCCCCTTCCAGCTCAGGCCAATTTCCAGCTTTCAGCACTGTCACACTTTGAATGACAATTGCGCAGTCATGCAACTCTGTACCCATATGAAATTTTTATCATTTTTTTTAGATAGATAGAGCTTTCTTTTGGTGGTATTTAATCACCTCGGGGGTTTTTATTTTTTCTTAAACAAACCAAAAAACACTGCAAATTTTGAAAAAAAAAACGTTTTTTCTTAGTTTTATAACATTTTGTAAATAAGTGATGTTTCTCCTTCACTGATGTGCGCTAATGAGGCTGCAGTGATGGGCACTGATAGGCTGCACTGATGGACACTGACAGGTGGCACTGATGGGCACTGATGAGGAGGCACTGGTAGGTTGCACTGATGGACATTGACAGGCATCACTGATGGGCACTGAAAGGCAGCACTGATACATGACACTGATAGGCGGCACTGATAGGCGGCACTGACTGGCACTGATAGGCGTCACTGACTGGCACTGTTAGGCGACACTGACTGGCACTGATAGGCGGCACTGATGCGCACTGATAGGTGACACTGACTGGCACTGATAGATGGCACTGATTGGCAGCACTGATAGGTGGCACTGATTGGCATTGATAGGTGGCACTGACTGGCACTGATGGGTGACATTGAAAGGCAGTTCAGGTGGGCACTGATATGTGGCATTGATGTGCACTGGTATGCACTGATATGTGGCATTGATGTGGCACTGATGGCCACTTGCACGTGGCACTGATGGGCACTGGCACGTGGCACTGATGACCACTGACAGGTGGCACTTCTGGGGCCACACTGATCATCAGGGCACACTGATCATCAGTGCCCTGATGATCAGTGTACATGTCCCCTCCGCGGAAAGCCGATTATTGGCTCTCCTCTTGAGCTGTCAGCGTGACAGCTCGAGAGGAGAGAAATGGCGATAACCAGCATTTCCATGTTTACATGTGATCAGCTGTGATTGGACACAGCTGATTACATGACCGAGCCGACATCTTCGGTTCTTTCCGTGATCCGCTGTGTCTGAGGGACACAGCGCACCGGCGATCGCCGCGCTGTGCGCTCCCTGAGCCACGCATGCGCAGTGAGAATGGTAGGACGTCATATGACATCCTATCAGAATAAGAGAACCACCTTGCGCCCGTCATTGTTCTATAGGGCAGGCGGAAGGTGGTTAAACACATTTTGAATCACCACAAAATTACAGGCCATTATTAAAGCTGAAATCCCAGCAATTAGTTAAAATATACAGATGAAATACTAATACAAGAATTGTTTTACCTACCAAAGGATTTGTATTGTGTCCATCCAATTCTGAGATTGACACAGCTCTGCCACACAGCACAGCCCTGTCTGACAAGGCAGAAGACCTAATTTTCCTTTGCTGCAACTACACCTACAGGTCTTATCCTTCCTAGAGCTTGTGAATGGGCAGTGAAAAGAGGAGCAGCAGACTTATGAGCTCATATCTGTCATTCTGCTCTCTCCTCCTCCTATTAGAAGGTTCTTTTGATAGCACAAGAGCACTGCAGCACAACTGATTGGTTTCTTGTTCTGTTTCTCCCTCTCCCAGTCTAAGCTCTGCTGTACATGGGCTGCAGTAGGCTGATACCAAATCAAATAAAGGTACTTATTGAATGCTTGCCTTTAAAAAAATTATAATTATAATAGTGTACAACTGAATACAAATCTGCATTAATTTGTGTATGGTATATTTGCCTGGAGATCAGCTTTATTGTAGATCTAAACCCTAAATGAATGACATTTACAATGTAGTTTTTTATACAGCACTTTATATCATAAACAATAGCCACGTCTTTTTCCCCGTAAAATACTATTTTCACCTTTTTAGTAAAGTATAACTAAATACTTTTTTTTAGCTTTGGATAGAGTGGAGAGATATTAGAACACCTATCATATTTTATTTGCTGTCTGTGCTATTATTAGGGAGACCCCCCCCGCCCATTTTCCTTGTTTACCTTTATGGCTGAAAGTGAAAGTAAAAGAAAATCCCCAAATTTGGGTTCTCCCAGAAACAGGAATAGAGGGGACATTTTCCAGTGGGAACCCTGGTTCTGGAAGGATGTTCTCTCACATCCTGTTTTGGCTTTGGCACAGTAAGTGAAAGAAGTCTCCCCAATGGGACAGATTTTAAAAGATTGAGAAAATTTGCCAGAGAAGTCCACCTGATGCAGCTTTCTGGGATGGTGTGGCAACAATGTTCCTGAATTCAGAGTAGAGATGTCACCACCATGTGGCCTTTCCTATGTCACTCAACAGGAGGTTAGGATTAGAGATGAGCGAATCGAACATGACGAAGTGGAATTTGTTCCGAAGATTTGGAAAAATTCTATTCGCGACGAATCCGAAGATTAGCAAACTTCGGATGCACGAATCGAATTTTCCCAAAAATGGCGGCGACATGTGTGGCGACAGGAGAAAATGGAAGAGAAGATGGGGCGGGGATCTCTGGGAAGGCGCGCAGACAAGGCGCGCTGACCCATAATGCATTCATGACATGTGATCGCATTAGCCAATCAGCAGCCAGCCAGCACTGTGTAATGGTGGAGCTATAAATCGCGGCCATCTTAGAATTCTCCATTAGCCTCCGGTCATTCAAGAGAGACAGACCTGTGTGTATTAAGGGACAGAGTTAGGGCCACAGAGACTTTAGGGCCACAGAATCGTTACTCAGGGACACACAGAATCGTTACTCAGGGACACAGAATCGTTACTCAGGGAAACAGAATCGTTACTCAGGGACACAGAATCGTTACTCAGGGACACAGAATCGTTACTTAGGGCCACAGCTATCAAAGAATCGAAAATTTAAAGTGACATATACACCCTTTTTTTTTTTGGTGGCTGTCGTGCACAGTTGGTGCTGCAGTTTGCCGATTGTGCAAAAATAAACTGACTTTCTGCTTCACAACCCACTATTGTACGTTCAAAGAGTTAAATCCATATACACGCCGGGTGGCGGTAATATTTTTTTGGGTGATTAGTGCATTCCAGTGACATAAACGTACAGTTTACAGCCAACGGCAAGCTGCAATTGACCGATTGTGTACAATAAACTGACTTTCTGCTTCACAACCACTATTGTACGTTCAAAGAGTTAGATCCATTTACACGCCGGCTGGCGGTAATATTTTTTGGGTGATTAGTGCATTCCAGTGACCTAAACGTACAGTTTCCAGCCAACGGCAAGCTGCAATTGACCGATTGTGCTAAATAAACTGACTTTCTGCTTCACAACCACTATTGTACGTTCAAAGAGTTAAATCCATATACACGCCGGGTGGCGGTAATATTTTTTTGGGTGATTAGTGCATTCCAGTGACATAAACGTACAGTTTACAGCCAACGGCAAGCTGCAATTGACCGATTGTGCTAAATAAACTGACTTTCTGCTTCACAACCACTATTGTACGTTCAAAGAGTTAAATCCATTTACACGCCGGCTGGCGGTAATATTTTTTTGGGTGATTAGTGCATTCCAGTGACAGAAACGTACAGTTTCCAGTCAACGGCAAGCTGCAATTGACCGATTGTGTACAATAAACGGACTTTCTGCTTCACAACCACTATTGTACGTTCAAAGAGTTAGATCCATTTACACGCCGGGTGGCGGTAATATTTTTTGGGTGATTAGTGCATTCCAGTGACATAAACGTACAGTTCCCAGCCAACGGCAAGCTGCAATTGACCGATTGTGCTAAATAAACTGACTTTCTGCTTCACATGTGCCACACTTTGTACGTTCAAAGAGTTAGATCCATTTACACGCCGGGTGGCGGTAATATTTTTTTGGGTGATTAGTGCCATTCCAGTGACATAAACGTACAGTTTACAGCCAACGGCAAGCTGCAATTGACCGATTGTGTACAATAAACTGACTTTCTGCTTCACAACCCCTATTGTACGTTCAAAGAGTTAGATCCATTTACACGCCGGGGGGCGGTAATATTTTTTGGGTGATTAGTGCATTCCAGTGACATAAACGTACAGTTTACAGCCAACGGCAAGCTGCAATTGACCGATTGTGTACAATAAACTGACTTTCTGCTTCACAACCCCTATTGTACGTTCAAAGAGTTAGATCCATTTACACGCCGGGTGGCGGTAATATTTTTTTGGGTGATTAGTGCATTCCAGTGACATAAACGTACAGTTTCCAGCCAACGGCAAGCTGCAATTGACCGAATTGTACAATAAACTGACTTTCTGCTTCACAACCACTATTGTACGTTCAAAGAGTTAAATCCATTTACACGCCGGGTTGGCGGTAATATTTTTTGGGTGATTAGTGCATTCCAGTGACATAAACGTACAGTTTCCAGCCAACGGCAAGCTGCAATTGACCGATTGTGCTAATATAAACTGACTTTCTGCTTCACAACCACTATTGTATGTTCAAAAGAGTTAGATCATTTACACGCCGGGTGGCGGGTAATATTTTTTGGGTGATTAGTGCATTCCAGTGACATAAACGTACAGTTTACAGACAAACGGCAAGCTGCAATTGACCGATTGTGTACAATAAACGGACTTTCTGCTTCACAACCACTATTGTACGTTCAAAGAGTTAAATCCATATACACGCCGGGTGGCGGTAATATTTTTTTGGGTGATTAGTGCATTCCAGAGACCTAAACGTACAGTTTCCAGCCAACGGCAAGCTGCAATTGACCGATTGTGCTAAATAAACTGACTTTCCCTGCTTCACAACCACTATTGTACGTCAAAGAGTTAGATCCATTTACACGCGGGTGGCGGTAAATATTTTTTGGGTTGATTAGTGCATTCCAGTGACATAAACGTACAGTTTACAGCCCAACGGCAAGCTGCAATTGACCGATTGTGCTAAATAAATTGACTTTCTGCTTCACAACCACTATTGTACAGTTCAAAGAGTTAAATCCATATACAACGCCGGGTGGCGGTAATATTTTCTTGGGTGATGTAGTGCATTCCGTGACATAAAACTCGATACAGTTTTCCCAGCCAACGGCAAGCTGCAATTGACCGATTGTGCGAAATAAACTGACTTTCTTGCTTCACAACCACTACTTTGTACGTTACCAAAGAGTTAGATCCATTTACACGCCGGTGGGCGGTAATATTTTTTTTGGGTGATATAGTGCATTCAGTGACCTAAAACGTTACAGTTTCAGTCCATAACGGCAAGCTGCAATTGACCCGATTGTGCTAAATAAACAGACTTTCTGCATCACAAACAGCGCCATTGTACAGATTCAAAGAGTTAAAATCCATTTACACGCCGCCACCTCACCCCGGGGTTGGCGGGTAATAATATTTTTGGGACCGATTTGTGCATCAGACCAGTGACATAAACGTTACAGTTTCCAGCCAACGAGCAAGCTGCAATTGACGTTTGTGCTAAATAACTGACTTTCTGCTTCACAACCACTATTGTACGTTCAAATAGTTAGATCCATTTACCGCCATGGGGCTGGTAATATTTTTTGGGTGATTAGTGCATTCCAGTGACAATAAACGTACAGTTTACAGCCAACGGCAAGCTGCAATTGACCGATTGTGCTAAATAAACTGACTTTCTGCTTCACAACCACTATTGTACGTTCAAAGAGTTAAAATCCATTTACACGCCGGCTGGCGGTAATATTTTTTTGGGTGATTAGGCTTCCACAGTGACCTAAACGTACAGTTTCAGCCAACGGCAAGCTGCAATTGACTGATTGTGTACAATAAACTGACTTTCTGCTTCACAACCACTATTGTACGTTCAAAGAGTTAAATCCATATACACGCCGGCTGGCGCGGTAATATTTTTTGGCTGATTAGTGCATTCCAGTGACCTAAACGTACAGTTTCAGCCAATGGCAAGCTGCAATTGACCGATTGTGCTAAATAAAACTGACTTTCTGCTTCACAACCACTATTGTACGACTTCAAAGACGTTAAATCCATATACACGCCGGGTGGCGGTAATATTTTTTGG